ATTCTCATGAAATAACCCCAATTCACACGTCTCATTAATAGCGTCCTTATCGCATAATTTTTATGGTAACGAAATAATCTCATTTCACACGAGCATCCTTATCACATATTTTTTTATGGTAACGAAATAATCCCATTTCACACGCCTTTTAAACATATTTTTTTAACGATAAATTGAAGAAAAAAAAATCGTATTACAAGGAGAAGATATTTGGGATAATTTTAAGATTCAAAAACAAAATCCGTGAGAAGATATTTCATACACCTTATCAATATTCAAAACTGATATTAAGTTTGTTATTCATTTCCTAAAACAAATACACGTGTTGAATTATTATCTCTAAAAAACTATACAGAACATACGCATATATATATATGTACATATACACATATTAAATTTAAATATTTATAGACATGTTTTCTTTACAAAATAGTCTAGAAAAATCTTTTTTACATAATGTTAAATTCAAATATTTTTAGATATGTTTTCCTTCTAAAATTGTTTAGAAAAGTTGTAGGTGACTTCACATCTTTCAAAAATAATATAGAAAATTTTGAATACTTTTACATATATACTAATATAATATTTTAGGTGTTTTTAATATTAAACATACAAATTTTATATTCTCTTATACAAAATAATGTAAATTTCATATTTTCTTATACAAAATAGTTTTACATTGTTTGACCCCGAATCTTTAATTTATAATTATTAAGTATTGTTTATCCACCTCTTTACTTTATAATTATTTTTTTTTCTTCCTCTTTTTAAATAGGATCAATAGTAGTTTCCACTTCCGTCAGTGATTCAAACTCGAGATCTATTTATGATATTGTTAATTTAATATTGTTCTCGTGCATCGCACGGGGTACACACTAGTATATATAATTTGGAGCAACACATCATTTAATTTTATTATCATGGAATTAATTATACTAGTTTTACCCCGTGCATTTGCACGAAAAGCGATATAATAGAAGAAAAAGTAATTAAAAATATAAAATAAAATAAAATTAATAACTTAATAAATGAGAAAAATTAATTTAAAAAACCTAAATATTAGTAAACACATTTTTATATACAATATTCGTGGTTTTCCTATCGTCAGAACCTCCATCACAACAAATCATTATCATTAAACTCATTGAACTCGTGACTCTGGGATTTGATTTTTCAAAATATTTGATGTATCTTTGTATATTCGAAAAAATTATAGTATGACTCCAATAAAAAATAGAGATATTTATAGTCATTCTTAATTAGTTGTGAAATATGTATTTATATAATATAAAAAAATATATAATACAAAAATAAAAAAATAAAAATATTTTGTATTTCAAGACATAAAAATGCGTTACAGAAATGGACACATTCGAAAATGGGACATGTCAAAATAAATTGTGTAACTGAAAGTTACAATTTTTATTAAATGGTAAATATATTTTTATTTAATAAACACATATTATTATTAATTGCTGGTTGAATAAAATTTATTGAAGCTTGCCAGCAATTATATATATATATATATATATATATATATATATAGATATATAGATTATCCCGCCAAAAAATTTCAGCATTTAATTAGTTTTGAATTCCCGCCTAAAGCAGTTATCATTTTTCTTATTTAATTTTATTATTATGCATTTAATTATATTGTCCCCTATGAGTTATGGGTTTTGTTGTAATTAGCATTTCTCTTATTTACTCATAAAGTTTAAAAATGTATATAATTACCATTTCTTCTTATTTGTTATTTATATTGGTCAAACAATTTAGCTTTTTTTACCTAGCTGAAAAAAAATCTATCTTGATGAGCCTTTTTTTGCTTTTTTTTTTTATTGGTTATCTGGTTGGCCTGATGAGTCGTGGTTTTTGTTGTAATTGTACTTTTCATTTATTCCCTAGAAAATTCAAGGATGATATTTTTTATTTAAATTTTTTGTTGCTTTATTTTTTTATTTTTTACTTTTTTTGAGTGCTCTAGCCTTTGTTCGATCGCACATCCTTACAATTATAGTAATATATTTAATAATCAACTTAAATGAATATCAAAACTTTTTTTTAATAAATTTGTGAGTAGAAATTAGGTGCACTTAAAGATCTTGTAATTTTTTTTATTTGAAAACGGATATATTGCTCATATTTATGTGCAGATCGACTGTTGTAACCGAACAACATGTATATTTTTCATAAAACCATAATAACATCTTTAAGTATAACAAGATCCGTTCATTTTTTGTAAAAACAAATATATGTTTTGACCAAAAAAACATCAAATTATGTAGATATTTCAATTTATATGTTTTGACCAAAAAACATCAAATTATGTAGATATTTCAATTTTTTTGAAAGAAAATGACAAAACAAATACTAAAATAAGATTTTATATCTATTCTACTTTTGAAATCAATTGAAAACACGTTTTTTTTTTTTAAATAAATTCATATATTCTCAACCAACAATACAAATCCTGAGAGATCCGTACTATAATCGCCCTATTGGACCATTTTCTTATGATTCATTGAAGTATGTTAGCAAAATAGGGACGCCAACTTAAAATCAAAACAAAAATTATCAAATCGACTTCTAAAATTAACAGAAAACACGGTTTTACAAAGAATAAAAAATCATAAATTCTTAACAAATATTACAGATCTTGATAGATTCGTACTATAATCGCCCGATTGAACCATTTTCTTATGATTCATTGAAGCATTTTAGCCAAATAGAGACGACAACCTTAAATCAAAACAAAAAAATTCAAATTTTAATAGATCTGTTATGTAATCAGTCAATTTACACTTTTTTACTATGATTTCGTAAAACGGGATTGTAAAATCCAAATGAATTTGATATTATATCTCTGTTTTGTTTGAAATTTTCTATTTTTCGAAAAATTTTAGAATTTGATCATAACATCTCGCCGGAAAAACAAAGAAAAGGGCATGATTATCGACAAAAATTGATAAGGAAAATGAGATCTTGGATTCTGAGAGAAAAAACGTGTGATCCACCGATAATAAGAGAGAAATGAACTTGAATCATGGAGTGTGGATTATTTAAGTTGAGGGTTTTTAACCGTTTTTTTGCTAACTGATCTTATCGGTTACCTGATCTTTTTTTGTTTAAAAAAAATTGTGTATTTGGTTCAATTTGAAAGTTATTTTTTTAGGCTTTACCAAATCGGGCCAATTAAACAAATAGCCTTACTAAGAATATCGGCCCAAGTCACATTTACATATCCTTTTAATAAAAAATTAAGCCCAATTCACAATATTTTTTAATATGTTATCCAGCTCAATTCAGCAATTGTTTATAATACAATTATTTATTAAGTACATAATTTCGACCAAAATGTTTACATTTGCTGACAATTATATATATTCGACACACATTGTATTATTCCTCATTTGTTTGAGGGTACCGTTCAAGTTTCAGCGCAGACAATTTTCTATCATGGTCTTCTATGCTATGACGATCAACAAGAGTCAAGAACAGTCTCTCTCACACGTCCGTTTAGTCTTGAAGAACCCTGTTTCAGTCATAGACAGTTGTACGTTGCTCTTTATAGAGTCACAAATGGGAGGAGTTTGAAGATAATGATATGTGGTGATTGTGATTATGACGATAGGAAAACCATGAATGTTGTATACAAATAAATATTTAATAAAATTTATAATCATTTTCTTAATTCATATTATTTTCATGAATTAAATTATGGTTATGTATTTGTTTTTTTTTTCTTTTTATATTGTTATCTTTTCTACGTATTTTTCTCCGTGCAAATGCACGGGTTAATCATTAGTTGTAATAGAAATTTCCATATATGCACATGCACATGCACATAGAGATGTTAAATGGTCCTTGACCCGACGGGCCGGCCCGTTTAGCCCAGAAAAAAATAGGGTTAGTGATTTTTATTGGTAGCCTGTTTAAATCCGGGTTTTTTAGGTCCGGACCGTTTAGCTCGAAGCCCACTAGGGCTAGCCCGTTTAACTTTGGTTGGGTGGTGTATATGTTTTTAGAAAGGTAAAGAATATGTCTCATGATAATTATGAGTTATAATTATTATTATTATTTTGATAGATAATTATTAACAAATTTTATTTTTTTTCACAACAAAATATTTAAGCGAATCAGAACGGTTAATAAAAAACAAATGAGACAAAAAACTAACACATAAAATATAGTCAGTATGCTATTCTGTGAAAATTTTCGAAGCGTACCAAATAACTAGTCAAATTGTAGTTATAAGTGATAGTTCGAACATTTTTTTTTCTACTGAGAAACAATATGTTATTTAAGAGTTTGTAATGTGTGTTTATATATGAAGTGTAGTTGTATATATATAGTGGTAAATATTAAATAGCCGTCGAAAAAAATCGTTAACTAGGTGTTGTAATTTTTTATTTTTATTTTTATTATTATTATTATAGCCCGTATAGCCCGAAGCCCGCTAAATTTAAGGTTAGATCCTTTTATTGGTATCCCATTTAAATTCGGGCTTTTTAAACCCGTACCGTTTAGCCCGAAGTACAATAGGACTAGCCCGATTAACATGCACATGATCACGAATTTGAAATTCATATTTGAAAGTTTAAAGACACAAAGCCCAAAATTAACATGCGCTGGCGCCATCAACCCCCTCAAGTGGCTGGGCCTACTCAAGGCGACAAATGGAAATACAAATAAAGGGAAGGGCCAAAGTATAAAAAGCAAAACCGCGTCAAGGTCGGCCATCCCCTAGCCTATATATACCCCCTTTAGCCCCCATTAGAATCGATCGTCAATTGCATTCGGCGCTTTGGATTTTTTTATTTAGGTTTTTCTCCATCGCTGTAACCCTAGCCAACAAAATTTCGTCAGATCTATTTCGTTCGCGCTAGATCTATCATCCTGCAAGATCTTTTGCGATCCTTAGATCCAAACCCTTGATTTTTCTTGTGGAATTGTTCGACCCTTAATCTTGTTTATCTGGAAAATTCGATTTCGGAGACATGTCTCGGTGTTTTCCTTACCCACCGCCGGGGTATGCTCTGAGCAGAGTATCCAAAGATGCCTTGATCGAATCGATTAAGGTTTGTTGACCGAGCACCTTGATTGATTTACTCACGAGCATGAGTCCCTCATCGATGTAAAAATAATGGGATCTTGGTTGGTGGGTTTATTTGGGTGTATGTCTTTCTTGTTGATGAAGGTGTCGGTCGTATGTGTGTAAGGGTTTCGGAACTGTGGATTTTTTGTATGCAAGTTTGGAACTTCTTGTGATTATTGTGTGTGTTCATGAATCTGGGCCCATATAGGGGTTGTATACACTTAATAAAATTTTGCAAATTCAATCTTTTGGGAATTGTGAAAATATGGAGACCGATGTTCTTTGTTTTCTTAATTTGTTGTGTGGATGGATGTTTGCCTTGTCTAGCTTTGTCTATAAGATGTCGGAAGCAAAGTCTGGTTAATTACCTAAGTGAAATTAGTAATTACTTGACATCTTAAGAATGAGAAATCTAGTTGTATTTGGGCCAGCCCTTTGTGATATATTGTATATGAACTTGATGTAGCTCCAAAAAGCCTGGTGATGTGAATTCGACTAGATGGTAGTTGGTATTTCACTGTTTGAGCTGCAAGGCATATATGTTTATTTTGGACTGAAAAAAAAATATTTTGCATGAGGCTGTGTGTTAGGAAATTTTGGTTCGTGGATTTGAGTGCTTACCTACCTTTGGGTAATGTTTGTTCTTAAGCTGAACCTTTTATTTTAAACCTTTTTATTGGCTTTGTGTTTAGTTATTGTTGATGAACCTCTGAGTTTGATTTGAAACCAATTTTTTCGAGCCTTTTTCTTGAAAATAAAAGCCCATCCTTTTACTGTTTTAACAAAAATGAATGCTTTGCTTTAAACAAAATGTAATTCTTCCCGGGTTCAGGAATATAATGAAGAATAACAATTTCTTCACTTGTGAGATTTTGAGTGAACAGTATTTGCTCTCCTTGTTTTGTTTTTAAAACGTGGGTAAGTTACATATATGGACCATGCTTGAGGTGCATGATATCTGGGTGCTAGGTTATTTGTTTTGTTCTCATTACATGGGGGGCTTGAACTTGAGTTCCCTGTTCTTGTCATGGGGCCATACCGCATTTGCCCTTGTTCGGCCTAAGAAATCTAAAACTGTTATTTTGGTGCTCTAAAGCTCCAAAATGATAAGGCGAAATCTAAGGAACAAAGGAAGGAGGAGAAAAGGAGGGAGAAAAAAGAGAAACGGAAGAAAGAGAAGAAAGACAAGGTGAAACATAAACATGACAAATCCAATCTTGTCCCTAACCAGTTTGGTGAGAAATTACTGCCAGTTACAGAACTTGCTGAGCCCCAACAACAGTTTGAAGGAAGTAGCGTGACTGAGGAGTATGGTAAGCCGGTGTGCTTGCTTGCGCCCAGCACTTCCTCCGACAGTACAGAAAACAGCAAAAAGAGGAAGAGACTTTCTTCACCGGTTGAAGCTACCCTTTCTAATGGTAATATTATTTTTTTAACCCCGCAAAAACGTAATTTTTTATCCCTGGTACGATAGTTAATTTGATGATAATATTGTGATTCTTCGTTTGCAACAGGTAAAATTATTCGTATTAAACTGCCTGTAAAGAAGCCGAGCCAACTTAGTGTCTCCACCAATGAACAACAACAACAGCAAACATGTTCCACTTCTCAAGTGGAAGATGTTACTATTTCGAAAAACGAGAGAGATTGCTCGACCTCTCAGCCCATTGAAACTCCCATTGCTCGGAAAACAGCAAATCCACCCGAGCCCAGTGAAGTAGTTATGACTCCAATGCAGAAACTGGAGTTGCAATATATCAATTTAATGGATAGCTTGGTGCCATGTCAGCAGCAGGATTCATTTATCGATGAAGCAGATGATCTTGATTGGCTCTTGAAGAGCAAGAATCGGAAATCATGCGCGGAGAAGAAAAATGTATCTGGAAATGAAGTTGTGTTGGGCTATGGCAGCTCGGGATTGTGGCCACGTGCACAGTATCTGAAGGATGTTGAAGTGTACGCGTTGCCTTACACAATTCCTTATTGAGCTTCTGGTGATTTTGTAAATATGCTTGTAGTGGTAGGAGAGTGATTGTTTGATTGCCTGAGGAATTTTGTAGTGTTCATCTGAGGGCACTTTTACTTTT